TTAGGGACTCCTACCCTCCAGGTATTGTCCATGGCCCAGGTCCCTTATCTCACACCATTGTCTGCCTCAGTTCTCCTGAGCTAAAGATGTTTAACTTAGTGAAATTTGAAGGTACTGGTGGCCTTACTGCTCCCCAGGAGGGTATTGTCCCCAGCCCAGCGCACAGCCAGTCCCCTTCTTTCTTGCCTTTTCTTGTAAGAACGGCTCCCGGAGCTGAGGGAAATTGATTGTTAAGTGAAACTCTCTGATAATTGCCTCTGAAATGCCTGCTGTTATCGTGATGGACTTGGCCTCACTCAGAATCCCACTGCGGTTCCCTCCAGTGCTGACCACAGTGGGGACATCACAGGCCAGGCAAGGCACCATCAGTAATGTCACAGCAGCCGCACACCCTGCAGGGTGTGTGAGGAAAGGAGGTCCCAAGAAGCCAAACCACACACCTGGGGTCACACGTGGTGGACAGACCTCTGTACAGGTCCAGAGATAAATGTGCTAACTTTGATTTCACAAATTCACTATACCCCCATGATATGCTAGGATCGAAGTTATCCTAAACTTAATAACAACCAGGCACTGCCCGCACTGAGCTCCCAGATCAAGGCGATGGCAGACGCACAGAATGTTCCCTGGGTGTCATAGGGGAAACCAGTGCCTGGCAGGGGTCAGGGATTTGTCAAGGGCACGCTGTGGGGGGTTGGGGGGGATCCAGCTGGAGGAATCTAGTCAGAAGTGCATAGAAGGAAAACAGCAAGCACAGGGGCCTGCTAGAGGAGGCCAAGGACTAAGGCTCCAAGATCAGAGCCCAGATTGAGCAGGGAGTCAGCCCCAGTCACTCAGAGTTCAGGCTCCCATACACAGCAGACACCTGGGGACTGGACCAAAATGTGGCTCCATCTTGGCCCAGAGCAGCCGTAGGTCCTCCCCCTTGTATCTCCACCTGTTTGTTTCCCTAGTCCTCATCCTGCAGGCCCCTGGCCTGTCACATGGACACTAAAGGGATGGAAGAAAAGTGCTGGGAATGTCAGTCTTGGAGGAGAGTGAGGACCCCTTGGCCACCCCAAAGCAGGCCTGATGGTTGTGGGCTTTGAAAAGACAGAAACCCAAGGCTCTAAATACCCAGCCTGGGCCAGGCAGATGGTGCTAAGCTTAGGGCCCCCACATGCACACAAAGGTTCATCCTACTTAGAGACAAGGGGAAGCTGACAGGATGGGCAGAGGTAAAAGAAAACTTCCAGAGAAGGTGGGTAACCAGGCAGAAGAGCAGACAAGGTGGGGCGGCGGGGGGGAGGCCCTCAAATGGGCAAGAGCCTGCAAGGAAAACCCGGATGGACAGGCTACCTGTGAGAGCTGCTGGGGTTGGAGAAAGGGGCCTGCCAAGAGCCTACCTACCCTCTGTGTGGATTAGTTACTACTTCCAGTTCACAGAAATCTCTGGCGGGCCAGAAAGGTGAAACCACTACTTAAGGAAGCTGTGTTGAATGCAGGCCAGAGCTTCAGGGGTGGTCCCCCTATCACTCACCCTCTCACTCTCAGGTCTGGCGGGACCTTGAACAGCAGTGGCCTTCCCATTTCACCCTGTCCCACTGACTGGCCCTTTTTTCCCATACCACTAGACCTGCCTATTTAGCAGTTTCCACACGTCCAGTGCCCGGGGATGGACTGATTGATCTGTAACACCGAAAAAATAATAATGGCTTGATCGTTACTGAGGATTAAAAGTAATCCTTTTGCTGTGGCTATTGCAACTCCGTTATTCACGAGTCAGCGGGCTGACCCAGGCCTTTGAGCCCATGGGACTCTGTGAGCTTAAGAAGACCAAGGACTGGGGCCCTCCCTCCTGGGTACTCCCTTACTTTGTCTGTTGGGTTATGGAGCCTGAGGATCCCCAAGTTTTTGGGGCCCGTGAATCCCAGGACCAAAGCTGTCTGCTGAGAGGGTGAAGGAACACACACACACACACACACACACACACACACACTGGCCAGTGGTTGAAAGTAGATGAATGTGGAGTGTTGGTGGCGCACGCCTTTAATCTCAGCACTCAGGAGGCAGAGGCAGTGGATCTCTGTGAGTTTGAGGCCAGCCTGGTCTACAGAGTGAGTTCCAGGACAGCCAGTACTGTTTCACAGAGAAACTGTGTCTCAAAAAAGCAAAAATAAATAAATAAATACACGTAAGGAACAGATTCTCTAGCCATGGCTTGGTTTGATGCCTGCAGCCCATTTCCTCTCTCCATTCTGTATACTAAGAGGCCTTAATCTGGCTCCAACATCGCCTTAGACAGGACACTTATAAAAGGCAATGGTCTCTGCAGAGCTCCCACTCTGAAGTACATGCAGGATGCCAGGAAAGGTAAGAGTCCACTAGGTAAGAGTAGAGGAAGAGGTACTGATTGTCCAAGGCTCCTGCTTCAAGGTGTGCCTCCAGGGCCACATCCCAAGTAACTTTGCACCTGGTATAGAGTGGCACCCACTTAAAATGTCATACATATGTCCACAGAAAGGTATTACATGATATGAAATTTGGGGTCTCGTTCATTCATCTTAGGGGTTTAGGCCAAGAGAGGATACAGGATTAGAGAGAGAGAGAGAGAGAGAGAGAGAGACAGAGAGAGACAGAGAGGGAGAGAGAGAGAGACAGAGAGAGACAGAGAGACAAAGACAGAGACAGAGACCGACAGAGAATGAGAGGGAGGGAGGTAGGGAGGGAGAGAGAGAGGAAGGGAGAGAGAGAGAGAGGAAGGAAGGAAGGAAGGAAGGAAGGAAGGAAGGAAGGAAGAGCAAGAGTTCGGCAGAGCCTCAAGAAAGCTTTCACATGAGAGCATTTGGAGCTCCTGGTGGACTCCAGAGCTAGTGACAGTCACGTGACCGAATCTGTACTCTGAGATAAGGCTCCAGGTCATGAGTGTGGAGTGGATGCAGAAAGATGATGCTACTTGGAGGGCAGGACCACTGAGTAGGACAATGAACAGTAGAGAGTTTGAGTAATAAGTTGGAAGGCAGGAGACAGAGGTTTCAAGAGAAGAGGGTTAGCCAAGTGGTGGTGGGGCATGTCTTTAATTCCAGCACTAGGGAGGCAGAGGCAAATGGATCTCTGAGTTCAAGGCCAGCCTGACCTACAGAGCGAATTGCAGGACAGCCAGGGCTATACAGAGAAACCCTATCTCAGAAAACATCAAACAAAAAAGAGAGAGAAGAGGGTTTATACCAGTACTGCAGAGGCTCGGCCGGTAAATACTTGCCACACAAGCTTAAGGAACAGAATTCAGATCCCCAAAACCAACATAAAAGTAGGGTGGGTGTGGCAGCCTGCCTGTAATTCCAGCACTCAGGAGGTGATGACAGGATCCCTGGGCAAGCTAACAAGGCTGGTCAAATCAGCAAGCCCTGTGTTCAGCAAGAAACCCTGCCTCATTAAATAAAAAGACATTTGACAATCTCTGGCTTCCTCATGCACACACACAAACACACATGCATACACGCCCACACTGCATATACATATCTCCCATATATGCATTCATATACCCACATACAGTGAAAAGAGAGCTGTTCCAGGAAGACGTGTATGTTGTCATCACTTCAGCTCAAGTAGGTTGAAGGTCATCTGGGGTCTGGGTCATCATCCAAAGGCCTCTCCTAGACTTCATTAGACCCTCTTCTCCAGGGCCTACATGCCTGATGGGTGGGGATACTGGGGTCTTCTGATTCAAGTTGGAAACCTAGAGTCAGGACATGGCATGGGTTGGAGCCAAAACGAGGACCACCAGGTACAGGGAGCCCTATGGAGGCATGGTCTTTGGACCTCATGGACTAAGCAAGGTGAATGCAATAGTAGGGGCTGGGCTAGGGCTCCAAATTGACTCAGACTCACTGAGCATCCTGCACAAGTTGCTCACTATAACAAGCCTGGGACATCCTCGTCTGAGAATTCACAATGTTACCACACATAGTGAGCAGTAATGGGTGCATATATGGAATTGGCCAGGGGAGGGCTTGGCATGCAGTGTCCTCCCCAAAGCTGGACACCAGTTCCTAGTGGTGGTTGTCGCTGGAGTCCTCAAGATAACACTGATTCTCAGTTTCATCCTTGTATCCTTGGCCCTTCCTGACAGACAAAATCCATGGAGTCCTGGGTTCAAGCCCGGAGGTTGGCTTGGTCCCAGTGCCTTCCATAAGCCTTCGTGGTGTGTCCAGTACCAGTAGTACCGAGCCTCATCCCCCTCAGTGACTCCTCCCCAGAGATTATACCTGGCTATGCACTATTTTATCCTTCCCCACCGTGAGAAGCAGGGCTGGCTGAGGCTGTCACATCTCCACATCTCAGAGTAGTCTAGCACTAAGCATGCTTAGTGACAGGTATGAAAGGACGAAAGCTCTGCTTTCAGGGGCACTCTGCCCTCAGGACTGGGCTTCATTGTCAAAGGCCACTGAAGCTAGCAGTAAAGGTTGGGAAAGGCTCATGCGGACGGAGGCCTGAGAGCCCTGTGCAAAGGACTTCAGGAAGCTGGGAGAGGCCAGTGAGCCTGAGTCAGTGGAAATGGACTGTAGACATGTCCTGCTGGGCCTAGCCAAGGCAAAGTTGCATGATGACACTCAATAACGTGGGGGAGGGGTGTTCACACTCCTTGGGGAGGAGGACACTAGCTTATAGAGGGTAGAGGGTAGCACTGGGGCTTGGGCAGGATGACTGCCTGTGCCGTCTTCTGAGCAGGAAGTAACGCAGGGCCAAGTGCACGGTGTCCTGGGGAAAAGCCACTTAGACTGCCTGTGCCGGCAGGCCTCCTGTCTCCTGTGGGATCCAGTAGTATTCGGTAAGGTGTCCTTTCCTACAAGCTGGCCACTGTCTGGGCTGAGGAATTTCTGAGGATCTGATGGGAGAGGGAGAAGGAGACCCTGAGTTAGCATGGTCCTGGGGAACACTGGGCATGGAGAGGGCTTTGGGGTGGACATGGAGCAGGCAGCCTGCCTCAGGCTCTGACTTCCCTGTGCTCTGTCCCTCAGAGACTGGCAGACGCGGCAGAGAGTTTCCAGAAAGCCCACCGCTGGCAGGACAACATCAAGGTAAGAACCACAGCATATGTTGGACCAGCAAGATGGCTCAGCAGATAAAGGTGCTTGCCTCTGGCCTGGCAGCTTCAATCCGCAGACCCACTCAATGGAAGGAGAACCCACTCCCACATGTGGCTCTCTGATCTCCATACATGCACTGTGGCCTGTGTGCATACATACACACGTTAAACAAAAAATAAAAGTAATTACACACACACACACACACACACACACACACACACACACACACACTGCCCTCCAGCACCCAGGGTATGAACCCTTGAGCTAGGGTGACAGACATGTGGAGGAGGGAGTGTGGGTTGCACAGACCTCTGGAGGGACAATGTTGGAGTACAAAATCCTTTGTCCAAACCTCAACAAAAACCCCAGCTCTCTGGTTAGTGTTGGGGAATGCAATGTAAGTATAAGCCCAAGAGGAGTCTTGGGGTGACCCATGAGAAGTTGGCTTTGTTAAAATGGCCCTTCCCAGAGAAGATACCATGAGTCTCAGAGAGTCCCAGGGTCATCGGTGCCTGGACCCCCAGGATTCATCTGAGATTTTGATGTCATGGCCGGAAAGAGGCCCTGAGAGAGGGCATTCATTGTCTGTGTCCTCTTGGCTGTGAACAGCAGTCTGTCCTCCTCCTAGAAGACCCTCAGACTGGGCCCAGGGACTGGCCTGCCAAAGTCACAAGCCTATCCTTTCACCATAAAAGCACAGAAGTCCAAACACCTTGGAGCCAAGTATAGGGCACAGGGTGTAAAGGGCCCAGACGGTAGGGGAGGACAAAGCAGCCTTACCAGCCAATTCCTGGCTGGAGCTGTGCACCCCTGACCCCTCTTGTTGGGCTAGCATCTAACTAGGGCGAGGCTGTTCCCAGACCCAGAGAAGCCCTGGAACCAGAGGCCTTAGCACCCTCAGTAACCAGACCAGTGAACAGGGCTCTGTGGATCTGGTCCATGGTTCCTAGTAGTCTCCTTGCTAAACATTGGGAAAGGCAGAGAGAAGTACCAAGAGCTGCCCCAGGATCTAGGGACTAGTATATAGATGAGGGTCGAACAGACATTGCCTCCTTCTAGCTCTGAGACAAGCTGATCTAGACCCAGGTGCCCCAGAAAGCAGGTTACCCTGAAGGGCTGTTACCCCTTCTTGCCCAGGTCGCCTGTTGGTAGTAGAGATTTACAGCTGCTGACAGTCCACAAGCATTCACATCTGTGGCCCAGACCCCTAAACTGCTCCTCATGCTCTGTCTCCCCTGTCTTGCCTTGCTCTCATGGTGGTAGCTTCTTTCACTACTTGGTGGATGTTAGTACAAGTAGTTCACATGGCACATGGAGTTGGAGGCAACAGCTGATCTCTTTTTCTTCCTCTATCTCATTCTCTCTCTTTCATGGGAACAAGGGTCTTGAGCGTGCTGGACAAACACTCTACCAATGACCTATATCTGCCCAAGGTGATCTTTTCAATGAACAAATGAGTTAGTGACTCTCACCCCCTAAGCAACCCAGGAAAAACCCTTCTCTTACCCACTCCATCACAGTCCCATCCCTTCTCAGCCAGGCATGACTGATTGTGCATGCCTGCAGCCATGGCACTTAGGAAACAGAAGCTGGAGGGTAAGGAGCCAGCTTCCGCTACGTAGCAAGTTTAAGGCTAGCCTGAGCTACGTGAGACCCTTGTCTCAAAACCGGGAATGGTGGGTATAGATGCCTCAATGGATAAAGGCATTTACCGTGCAAACCTGGCCTGGCAACCTCAGGTTGATACCAAGAACCCATATTAAATTAGAAAGGGAGAACTGACTCCACAGAGTTGTCCTCTGACCTCTCCACCTGCACCTGCACCATAGCACGTGAATCACACACACACACACACACACACACACACACACACACACACGTTCAAGTGACACGTGTACACAGTCATGTGTTTTCTCCCCCACCCCCACCACAAACAGAGCACTGGCTACTCTTCCAGAGGACCCAGGTTCAATTCTCAGAACCAACATGGCAGCTAACTACTGTCTGTAGCTCCACTTCTAGAAGATCCAGTGCCCTCTTCTGGCCTGTATGGGCATCAGGCATGAATATGGTACACAGACATACATACAACTGAAACACTCACATATGTGAAATTAAAAAGTAGAAAGAGGAAGGAAAGAAGACAGTGGCTCTTATTTGACACTAAGACCATGCTGCCATGTCCAGATAATCCCTGCTTCACCATTCCACCTGCCCTGCCCAGCCCTGAGCCTGCGCTCAGGCCAGCTGTCTGACCAGTCCTGTGTCCTTTAACAGCCTTGTTTCTTGGCCCTTCCTTTCTACCCTGTTCTACCACACTGACTACCTCTGGGGGCCCCTTCCTGTCCCAGGGCCTTTGTTTCTGCTGATCTCCACCCGGTATCCATTCATTCCTCCTAGAATGCTCATCTTGAGCTATTACCTCTCCTCAGCCCATTGTTCCCTGTCCTCTGAGTATCCAGGGCCCCTCCACTTCTCCTCTTCCTCATTTTTTTCTGACCATCGGCTTCCTTTCTCCCATGAGCAGACACGCTGAGCAGGAGTCCAGAAATAAAGGCACAAGAAGCCTGCTCTCCTCTTGGTTTTCTTTCCTTTCCAATCCAAGTTCCAGAGAGGGAGACAAAGAGGCTGCCACAGCTCCAAACTTGCTCCTCCTCCAGCTTCTTCAGAACAAACCAACAAACCACGTATTTCCCAGGGCTCTCCTGACAGGCCCCTGGACCATGAATTTTAGCCATTCCACTTATTCTGGGTCAGGGTGGGCACTGGGGATGCCTGGGAGAATGTTGGACCTTAGGGATACCCAAGAGCACTGAGTGGTGGTGGCTCAAGTCTTTAATCCCAGTACTCAGGAGACAGAGACAGGCAGATCTCTGAATTGGAGGCCAGCCTGGTCTACAGAGCAAGTTCCAGAACAGCTAGAGCTACACAGAGAAACCCCATCTTGAAACAAAAAAAAAAAAAAATGAACAAAGAAACAAAAAACCACAAGTATATCCCTAGATCACAGTTTCTGTGAGACACAAGCCTGACTTTATTTTCCTCATTGGCTAGCTAATGTTGGTGCTACCAATCAGTTCAGCATGGCCTCCGAGGGGCAAAGGTGCTCACCAGGCTGCATGGATGCCAAGCCAGTGATATGTGGAGCATTGTTGTCCACACCTGCCCTGCTTGCAACTGCCCTGGTCTGAAGCAGAAGTCGGCTCTGGCTAACTATCCTGCTTGACCTGGGCTGTTACAGATGTGGTTGTGGCCACAGACAGCACTGGCCACAGAACAAACAGGGCCTAGGCTTGTTTGCCCAATGCCCCCTTCCCTGTGTTGCCCAGCCCATCAATGCACCTGCCTGAGATCCTCAGATGTAAGGGCTATAGTCACCTGTTTCCAGGCTGCAAGGTCACTGCTGTTCCCATGAAGATCTGAGGCCGCTGCAACTGCCTGTCTGAGAGGCATTAGTTCTAATGGTGGTGCATTAGCCCACCCACCAGCCAGCGCTGCTAGGGAGAGTTGCCGGGACTGTCCATGACAGCAACTGTGGCTGGGGAAAAGATGTAGTTTGTCCTTTGCAAGCCTAAAACCCACCCTGAAACCCAGTGACACTGAGATGATGACCAACAGGAAGTCATAATCCTCCTCCATGCTCAGCAGACACAACTGACCCATGTCACACTCCCAGCCTCAAGCTCAGGTCCCTTTCCAGGCTCAGCCTTCTCCCAGGAATATTCTTGTCCTTTAACTCATAGGGCAAAGCCCAAGATTCCCCTTTCTAACCCTAACCTTAGGGTTGTTTGTCCACTGCTCCCAGCACTTCCCTTTGCACCTTTATGACACAGACAGTGCCCAGACATCTCTATGTCACAGACAGTACCCAGACATCTCTATGTCACAGACAGTGCCCAGACATCTCTATGTCACAGACAGTGCCCAGACATCTCTATGTCACAGACAGTACCCAGACATCTCTATGTCACAGACAGTACCCAGACATCTCTATGTCACAGACAGTACCCAGACTTCTCTATGTCACAGACAGTGCCTAGACTTCTCTATGTCACAGACAGTACCCAGACATCTCTATGTCACAGACAGTACCCAGACATCTCTATGTCACAGACAGTACCCAGGAATCTCTATGTCACAGACAGTGCACAGGTGAGTGCCCCATATGTCTGCCTCAATCATGACTCCTTCAGATCAGGGACAGACAGACAGACAGACCTGTGTCAGTGCTGTCTCCCACCTGTCCTGGTGCCCAGCCCAATGTGTAAAGTAAAAAGGAATGGCCTTTTTACTTCTGAGTGGGAAACGTGGGTGCATCCAGAAGTTGTGGGCACAGAAAGTGTCCTGGGCTCGTGGATCTGGACTAGAATTAACTGTACAGTTAGTAGGGTCTGGATCTCCCCGTGTGGAAAGCACAGAGCAGGGAACAGACAACTGTGGTATATTTGTATATGCACACACATACATACCCCATGACACCAGCCAGGGTCTTAAGGGACCCTGGAGTCCACAGGACCAGAGCTGAGATACAATCAAGGGGCCAATGAATAGAGAAAAAAAAAAAAGAACAAAAAATTGTCTTGTTCCAGGCCGTGACGCTACACATTTGATCCTGGTGGGGTCAAGGAACCAGTAACCACAGCCCAGACTTGGGAATACTAGAGAGACCATGGCTCTGACCTGCCGGCAGTACCTCCCATGGCTCCACACAGACAGGCAGCAGGTGGTCTGTTACCCATAACACTTAACAGCAGATGAAGATGGGCCACCTGCTAGACTATGCCTGCTGCCAACATCACACTATGCCAACATTGTTTGCCACCTAAGCCACCACCAGGGAGGATCTGGGCCAGGGCATGGGTCAGGGAGAAGCGAGAGAGAACAGGCTGTTAGTCTGGACCTACAATAGTAGATAAAGCATACCCTGGAAGTCTGGTGTAGGCAATGGCCCTGGGTGTCTGATGGGGGAGGTAACTCTACCTAGGGAATCTAAAGAGAGACCCATGAAGTCAGGACTAAGGCCTGAAGAGCCAGCTGGACAAGACAGCTCCCCACCCCCGCCTGGGGGTCCAATCCAGCCATAGTGCTCACCACCTGTCTCTACCAAGCCAGCAACAGACGGCTCTCAGAAAAAAAAATAAAGTCTTTTTTGGTCGAGCTAAGCTGGCAGTAGGTCATGGAAGGAAGGCCACATGACCTCACTGGTAAGGCGGGGCAGCTGCCTGGGCTTTGCACAGGGGAGCTGGCGGGCAGGTGACAGTCATGTCTGGGCAGCCTTGGCAGCTGCCTTACAAAACAACAAATCTGGATGATAGCCCTCTATCCCACTCATCCCAGACTGTCTTCCTCACCCTGCTCCACAGCTGTGGACCCCCCTCATGTCCTCTCAGGCTTGGCTCTTACTAAGGAGCAAACGCACCATGCACACATACACACCACGTCCCACCCCTCACCTGCCACCAGTGTACACAGGTTCCTGGTGGAGGTCATGTGTGTGAACTGGGGAGGTGATTTCCCCACCCTTTGCCAAGCTTGAGGAAAACAATCCCTGAAAGGAGGGAACAGAGGAAAGCCAGTTGGGAACATGCAACACCTATTTCACAGCATCCAAAGGTCCTTTCCACTCATCCCCTCAAGTGGGCTGTGGGTCAGCCTCCTGGAGAGACCTCTGGTATTCTCTATCCTCTTCAAGATTCAGGATTTTATGGTATGTGGCTGGAACCTGGAGGCAGAGCTCATTGGGGCTTCGTGATCTTACCAGGCAACCTTGCATTATTAATAACATGGGAGGATTCTGAAAATAGTCATGGGTCTACTGGGGCAAATTTGTCCAGCTGGTGCCTCCGGTTTTTGTTTTCATCTTGAGATGAGGCCTCGCTATGTATCTCTGGCTGTCCTGGAACTCGCTCTGTGGACCAGGCTGGCCTCAGACTCACAGAGATCCTTGGGCCTCTGCCTCCCGAGTGCTGGGATTAAAGGTGTGCACCACCACCGCCCAGATACTCAGCCTGCATTTACTCACCGTTGAGAGATTAGCAATGTCCTGGTCAAATTTTGACCTCTAGACCCTTCTCCAAGGCCCCTGCGATCACTTACTAGTCTGCTTCCTCGACGTTTAACCCAAGACATGAGTCACTACAGCCAACATTCTGGTGTTGCTCTGGTAGAAGCAGATGCTAGCCTTCCCAAGGACCTGCTCCTGTTCACTGCAACAGCTCATCCTGCCACACCAGCTCCATATTGCATCACAAATAGCAATCACAGCTGTGTTTACCATGTATTTTCACTTGTGACCTTGCCAAGGCTACCAGCCAAGGCAAGGGCCAGGAAGACTGCAGATAGCTGGGCCCCACCCCCAGTCTACAGGAACCTGACAATCCTGTATGACATTTTCCCTTCATCTCTGATGCTACCAGCATTGTATCTTCCACCAAGACTGTGAAACAGCAGGACAAATAAACAGAACCGTGGGAACTGCTGGAGAGATGGCCCAAGTGAGTGCCAGGGCATCCCAAGGATGACTAGGGCACAGACGGACCTCTTTCCACAGCCTGACATTGGCCAGCCCCCCGCCCACGCCCTTTCCTGTCCTTGCAGGAGGTTTGCCTAAAAAGTTGGCAAGTCAAGCCCCAGGTTGTAATCTGCAGTCCTCCCACTGTGCCCGCCTGTTTTCATTACGAAGGGAAAGAGCATCAGAGCTGTGTTTATAACCCCCTTTTAGATAACAAATCACATTTTCTTTTCGCCTGCGAGTGTGTTGAATTGATATTTTTTCCCCCTCAGTTTAATGGGTTTGTGTGTTCAGGAATGATCTTCATCAACCAAAACTCCTTATTGTGTTTGATGTAATGTCAGCTTTCATTACGTGCTTCTGTGTGAGCCGCGCACAGGCAAAGGCCGAGCCCCCGGGAGCCTGCGCTCTGCCCCAGCCCCCACCCAGGCCTATCTCCCAGGATGGGTGGGTGGGTGGCAGGTTTGGATGAGGCTGGCGATGAGCTGGGAGGGCAAGTTGGAGACTGGATATAAAGCCTTCTTTGTCCCTGCCCTGTTGTCTCTGTATGTTTAGTTCACCAAAAGTGCCACACGTAGTGGCACTAATTCAAGACACCTCTTGAATTACCTTTGGCCTGGCAATGTGCCAGGCATTCAGTCACTGATCCAGAAGCTTGACTTAAAAGTCACTATGTCCAGCCAATAACCTGCACGTAACCCCAGAACCCCTGAAGAATACAGCCTGAGATGGTTGCCTTAAACATTTTCAAATACTGACCATCTGCAACCATTAGCCAAAGACCCAGCATCTGGCCAAACCCTCCCCTGGAGGTATAAGGAGGCTCAGAGAGAGGGTAGGCCAACCCTAAGCTCACACAGCATGCCCTAGACAGGCCTTGATTGGACAGGGTAGCCTATGTGACTTCCACCCATCATGGAGAGCTGGCTCTGTGCATGCTGCTTTTCATGCAGGTCCTTGGGAACAGAACAGGCCACAAAGAAACAGCCCCAGATGTGTAAGGAACTCCTGGGACAACAAACACTAAAGGATTTCCTTGTATAAAACCACTGAGGAGCACCTGGAGAGAGTGACTTGGACAGTGGCCCTGGCCCTAGAGCCCACCAGGGCAAAGTGGGATGGCCCCTTCTGTGCGAGTGGCACTTGCTGACACTAGGCTCACCTTCTGGCGGCCTCTGTCAGCTGCACTCAGTTCTGATTAAAGATCATTAAACATGAAATTAGCCCGTTTGTGTTACGGGTCCCCGGGGCGGCGGGTGATTATGACGTGCAGATGGCCAAGAACCCAGGCGGTAGACAGGCAGCCACGGGCCAGGATGGGCAGGCAGGCACATGTGAGTGAGGGCCACAGGCAGGCATACGGGCCCAGCTTTGTTTATTCCTGCTCCTGTTGTGTAAACCCCTTTGCATTTCACAACAAATCACAGATAATTAATAAGTACATGCTCGTAATGAGCAGGCTTTTTAATAGAAGAAATTGGAAGATGCAGTGTGAAGTCATTATTTCGCTGTTGCCCAGGCTCTGTTCTGATTCTCTGTCTTCCTCACTCCCTGGTCCTGCCTCAGCCAGACTCTCAGCAGCCAAGCTGGCTCTGACCCTGCCCTCTACCAGCCTGCAGGGCAAGGCCCTGGTACCCTGTGTCAGGAGAACGTGGGGTACAGCATCCTTCTAGAGAGTGTGAAGGGCCTGAGGATGAGCCTGGGGGTGGGGGAAGAGAGCAGCTGCACTGACTCATCCCGCTCTTCCTGGGGTGGCTTTGGATGGAGGAGGGGACTAGGTCTTGGACCTAAGGGTCCAGGCTGCAACTCGGCAGCCCCTGAGCTGTGAGCACTCATCACCAGCTCCTCTCTCATCACCAGGAGGAAGACATCATGTACTATGACGCCAAGGGGGATGCTGAACTGGTGAGTGTCCCACCTTTGCTGTAGAGGACAGGAAGCTGCCAGAGCCAGACCCCCTCTTCTGGGTCACGACGTTCTCAGCTGTAAAAAGGGTATTAAGACAGCACTCACTGTTCTGAACTCAACTGCTCTGAGTTGTGGTGGGTCAGTCTGTCACCTTCCTAGAGGTCTTTGACCCTCCAGGGCTGTGACTTCATTGCCACTATGGGCTAAGCTTCCCTGCACAATGTGGAACAAGCTGGGTCTCCCTCCCTGGGCAGGCTGGTAAGGTGTTGGACATCATGACAGTTCAGTCCCAACGTGAGGGGCTCTCTGAACACCATGGGAGTCTAGGGGAGGGGGAGGGCCTCCGGAGGGCCTTCCTGGAGGATGGCATGTGGGAGTGAGATACAGTGACATCTAGGCCCCTCCCCAGGACAGTGGAGGCTCCCTTCCCTGTGATTCAGGGAACCTAACATCAGGCTGTGTAGAAGGCCCATGGCCAGGCGTCACCATCAGCGCTTAGGCCTGCATCACTTGGTGGCCTCGGACACAGAGGCAGCTGAGTTCCTACATCTGTTTTCCGATGAGACTAGACTCAACTTTGATAATCTCCCAGAAGTGGTGACACTGGGCCTGTGCCATTCTGTCCCCACATCTCATGAGCTTAGGTCTGCTTGGGCTGGCTTGTAAGGTAGTGAGGTCCCCATCATGAAAGGGCTCAGCAAGAATGACCATGGAGTAAGAAAAGGCTACAAAGAAAAAAAACGAGAGTGTCTGTGTGTTCAAGTACTTGGGAGTAGATAGTGTTCAGTGAGCTTATCAATGTCTGACTCCAAAGCACAGTGGTTGAACCCAACAGTGAACAGAGGTAAACAGTGGTATAGTGTCCAGTACTGACTGCCCAGCTTTCCCTTTTCGGTCCTGTAGGCCTAGAGGCTTTCCTGGCCTGAGCAGAGGTAGCCCATGACACCAGGAGGTGGGATGGCTACAAAAGGATACCTGTGCGGGAGACCACAGCGCCAGGTTGGCTTAGGGAGGGCAGGGGGCCGAGAAGGAGGGGCTGGGCTCAAGCAGGTGCGCTTCCCCTTGGCTGAGCTCCGTGGCTCCCGGAGAAGTTGCTAAAATTAAAGCTGGAATCTGAAATTCAAATGAAGAGCGAACCTTTAATTAGACCCTGAATCTAATTCCTTACCCCCCTCGGCAGCGGGCTGTAATTTTAGCAATCAGTGCATTAAATATAAAGCAGGAGACTGCAGTTGCCCACTGCACCGAACTCCTGGGCTGGGGCTGCCACTGAGAGGCTCTCTGGACAGCCTTGTACCCAAATCCTGACCAAGACACTGTTCCCTGCTCCCAGCAGACCCCAACCCTGGCTCCAAATGCCTGACTCTGCCCCCCAGCCCTTGCAGGGGGATCAGAACTACCCAGTAAGGAAACACTGCTCTAGGCAGGGCTGTGCTAGGGCCAGTGAGGCCAGAAGCCCCCAGGCCCGGTATAAATAACAGCACACACTCACCAAGTCCCCAGCTTGTTGTGTTGTGTTGTGTTGTGTTGTGTTGTGTTGTTTTAATCTTTGCCAGAGGTACAGTTAGAGATCTTTCTAGACCATTTACTTTTAAATTACCAGCCAGAAGGTGGGGGCAAGGGGAGAGAAGGAAAAAGTTCGCCAGCTGAGAGCTTATCAGAATGGAATCCAAATGTCACATTAGTTGGGAAAGTTGGAAGATTAAATTTTCCAGCGCCCTTCATCTGCTGCTGACATTTGGGGGGCTTTCTTCTCCCACACTTCTCTCCCTTTAAGTAGAGCGTACATGGCGCATGCCTCCCAGCCCGCTGACCCCCTACTCCAGCCTGTATGCTCAACTGCTGCCAACTCTGGCTTTTGCCAGCACATTTTAGGGGCTTCCCAAAGTGGGCAGGAGGTAGGTGTGCCCCATGAAGGGCAGGAAGGACAAATAGCCTGAATTTTGTTCTCCAAAGCCTTCCCTGGAAAAAAGGGGAGTGTGTTAGGGAACTCCAGAGCTGTGTCCTAGGATATGGCCTGTGAAAGGAGAGAGCCTGGGTAGTAACCTAAAGGTTGGAACACAGCAAGAGAGCTATGTCTGGGCTGCAGGAGGCAGCAGAGGAGCAGCTCTGGAAACCCACTGTGAAGAGAGGATGGATGGAGCCTGAGCTGAGCATAGTCAAAAGGGCCTTGGGTGGGGTACAGGGTGCAGGAGTGTGTGGAGCAGCCCCCTGTCTCCCTTGCCTTCCTGTCTGGCTCTTTATTCTTCCCTTATACTCTCTCCACCATCTTCCTTCTATGCTTCCACACCTGCACTGGAGCCTGCTCCCCCATGGGTTGCAGCATCGACTCTGTAGCTGAGCCCCACTCCTGCCAGCCTGTGGTAGTAGGCGGTGGGGGGGGGGGGTTGCACAGCGCATGCCCAGCCTGCCTGGCCGAGAGATACCGTAATTGGCACCTGTCAGGCGGCTGCAGCTCGTTTTAGAAAATCAACGGGGGCCTTTACAGTCCTGCTGCTAACGGGAATGGTGGACGCTCCCGCTGCAGGTCACCTGGTCTCTGTGCTATTCCCCACTCAGCTCTAGAGCCTGCAACAGGGGATGGTGCCCCAGATGGGGCTAGGGCTGACTTCTGTTCTGTCTGTCTCTCTGTCTCTGTCTCTGTCTCTCTCTCTCCCTCTCTCTCTCTCTCTCTCCCTGGTACCAAGGGATGGGTGGGGCTCAGTGGAGAATATGGGGGTGCAGAGCTGCTGAGGCCTCGCTGTAATTGCACAAGGCGTGTCCTTGGAAGTAGACGTCTGCAGCCCACTCCTAACTGGCTCTACCGATTGCCTCCTTTGCTGACAGCTGCTTTTCAAGGATGTGAAGAAGGGGTCATTTTGGCTTTGGTTCTAGTTGGGGTTTGGCAAATGAATGGTGGATGTGGTGTGAAAGGGCAGGTAAATCCACAAGCCTTTTGGGTGAGAGGTCCATTGCTGTGCCCATGTCTCTCCCTCTGTCTCTTGTCTCTGCAACAACCTCTGTCCTTAAGATGACCCTATCTCCTGGACTCCAGCCCGTCCCAACCTACTCACCATTTGCCAGCCCTGACATGGGTGGGGTTGCCTTCTGCAGGATGACCCTGAGGGTGAAGATGTGGAGAGGGGATCCAAGACCAGCACGTTAAGGTTGGACTTCATGGAGGACCCAAACTTCAAGAACAAAGTCAACTATTCATACACGGCTGTTCAGATCCCCACAGACATCTACAAAGGCTGTGAGTGTGAGATGGTTGGGAACAGTCCTTCCCCCTCCACAGGGGGGGGCAAGCCCACTTCCCAAGCACTCTCGGGTCCCTGAGATGGAAGGCTAGTGCCACTTACCTCCAGTCAGCTGCCTGCACTCAAGGTCATACATGCTCATTTCTCTGACTTACCCACATATAGGCCTTCAGTCACTCACAAGAGTTTGAAACAGCCTCTTACCTTTGCCGGTGTGGGCTCAAGCCTATGTGCACACAAATCCCACACATACACACACATACCTTGCTTCTCACTGCTGGGCTGAATCCCCTCAAATCAGTTCCTCGCCACCCTTACCCTTCTCTGACTCTATTAGGAGGGCCTGGGGAATCCCAGGGTGAGATGGACACAGAGATTAAGGACAGCTAACCACCAGCCATAAACAGCAGACCCAGATCTGTTTAACCCACTGGGCTCTTAACCCACAGAGCTGAAAAAGTGGGAACTTGTTTCTAGCCTGGAGCAGCCAGAGGGTGCAGGACCAGGAAAATGTAGTTGAGGTTCCAAGTCCCAGGGACGGGGCAGCTTTGCACAATGAGGAGATGAGGTCACTATAGCTTCAGTCTGTTGCTGGAGTCCTCATCTAGTGTTCGGCTCTCGGCATCTTCTCCTACAGTGCTCCAATTTCCTCTAGCAGTAGATTGAAGGCCCTGATTCTGACACAACTATTTGAGCACCTACCTAAAGGACAGCCTCGGAATCCACTGCACTGGGAGCCTTGGGCCCAGGGAGCTCAGGGCAAAGGTGGCAGAGCTGCTGTATAGGTTCAGAAAGCAGGGATTTCTGGGGTCTCCCAGGAAGCCACTGCCACCCACAACGTCAGCCAAGTCTTCTGGGTGACCTCAGATTGGGTGGGGGGAAATGTTCCCCCACCATCAGGCTGCCCAGAGACCACCTGCTTGAGCCAGTCGAGGGGCACTATCACAAGCAGGCACGCTAATTAAAACAGGAGCCACACAACCCTCCCCAGTCACCCCTCGCTACCCACACAAATTACATTTTATATGTTTTTTATTTACTGTGTCACTTTTAATTAAATCTGTAATCGCCTGCCTGAGGGGGCATGGTCCCTATTTCCCGACGCAGTGTGATCTGAGAGTGTATGCACATGGGTGTGGTAGAGGGGTATTTGCATCCGTGTGTCCTGCAGCTGTGTTCATGTGGTCACAGACATCTGCAGAGACTGCCCACCTGGAGCAGGGGTCACCCCTCTGCTGGCAGCTTGAGGGACTCGGACGTTTCTCAGACAGAAAGACTGAGGTCAGGTGGTAGGCAGGCGTTCTGGCAGACTCACAAGACAAATGGTATTGTGTGAAACATTTGTGGGGGTCTCACTTCATTTTTCCTTAAAAAGAAAAATAGAAAGTGTTCAACTCACTAGGCTTCTAAATCAGAAACAGGACCATAACACAGCGTTCAATAGGCAGAGCCAATGATAGAAATAGGTTTTGTGTTCATATTGTGGTCAGTTAAGGGGAACCACAGAGACAAAGAGGGGGATAAAAGCCAAGAAGGAGCTAGATGGCAGAGAGATGCGGAGAGCCCGTGCACACAAAGGAAGGGCAGCGGGGTGGGTGAGGGCGTGTCAGGCCCCGGGCAGGGCCACCAGCAGAGACTCTGGAGGCTGTCAAGCACAGCTCATCTGCTCTGAGGGAATGAAAGCCCAAGAGAGCCTTCTCTGGCTGCCACTTGAGATCTCTGATAGAGACCATGGAGGGCATAGTGGCAGGGCTCCCCCTGGGAAGACAGAAAGAAACCAGGAAGAAATACTGAAGTCGGGGGCCTGGCAGGAGCAGGTGTTGCATTTCTGTTTGTCTTCTGTTCAGGGACTGGTACAGTATATACATAAAAACACGTGACCCCCCACACACACACACACATCAGGTAGACTTAAGCACACCCTGAGTTATGGGACAGCAATGCCACCCAGGTTGGTCAACAGGGTAGAGAGCAGCCTTACTCTGTGAGGGTGTGGAGGGGTGTGTCTGGCAGGACGGACGAGTAACTCAGGTGCAACTATAGGGTTAGGGAATGGAAGATATGGGTAACTCACTGACGGTAGCGTGTGAGATCCCCTGTGTGCCCCTTGCCCATGGCACCATTCGTGTTGCTTGGGTAGATAGGTTTGGGAGTAAGGGCTGGAAGCACAGACATTAGAGGGTGCAGGCTCTATGGACATACGCCTGTTTGTGCAAGTGTGCGTGCCTGTGTCGGAATAGGATCCTGGCCCCACCCCTGCCCCTCCACAGCCCCCACCTCTGCCCCTGCCTGCTCCTGGACCCAGTTGATTAATCATGGAGCTGAGTGGCTTCCAGCTTATCAGGTACCTTAATAGCTGAATAATTCCAGCCCCATCAGCAGGCCCTTAATTGCTTTCTTGTGGCTGCAGCCTGGAGTGCATGCTGAGTGGGTGAGCTCCCTGGGGACCAGCCTCAGGCTCCAGGCAGCATGCTGGATGGGGGCCCAGCTCGCAGCTCCCTGCCACCCAGGTGGCCCTTCTCCACGGGCCACAAGTCACATCAGCCCTGCTTGCTCACTGAGGCCTGGTCGAGGGGTAGGCTGAGAGGTTCCTTTGATGATTTGGAGGAGGGAGGGCAAGAAAAATCTTCTTGGGGGAGCTGGTATGACCCCAAGTGAGATCCTGGAAAATCAAAGTCTGGGCAAGGGAGGCCATTGAGGGTGTCATGGAGATGGGTTTAGCAGGGTTCAACCTAGAGCTCCCCACCTCAGCCTTCTGCCCTGCCCCCCAGCTACTGTCATCCTCAATGAACTTAACTGGACAGAGGCCCTGGAGAATGTCTTCATCGAGAACCGCAGGCAAGACCCTACACTGCTGTGGCAGGTCTTCGGCAGTGCCACGGGAGTCACCCGCTATTATCCAGGTAGGTGCCAAACTGTCTCCTTGGCTCACCCAGCATCCATCTTGCTCCACCTCTAAGCCCACCCATCCTGAGGTGCTTGGAGTACAGTAAACCAGGTCATTCTTGTAACTCCCATCTGCTCCAGTCACGCCCTTCCACCAGGTTCCTTCACCCTCTCTTTCCACAGCCACACCATGGCGAGCCCCCAAGAAGATCGACCTGTATGATGTCCGAAGACGACCCTGGTGAGTGAGCAAGGAGGGACTGAGGAGAGAGACCCCTTCAGCTCCCCATCTCTTGCCGGCTCCCCTCCCTCTCAATGTCCAGACCTCCGAGCAGGGCACAGCCAGCTCTATCCAATTTTCATTTCACACATCGCTGCCACTGGAAAATGGATCCCATCACCCAGGCAGGCCGCCCAGCTGCCTCTGCCCCCACTCATACCGTCCACTACCCAGTCCTCCCCCCATCCACTCAGAACTGAAAGATCAGACCAATAGGGATGTTCCCCATGGTAGATATAGCCTCTGCCAGGTTAGCCAGCCCCACCCTACTCCTTTGATCCCTAGACACCCCTGCCCTGTGCTCTCTACCCCTCTCCCCTACACCATGACCTCCCTTCCCTCCTCCATTCATACAGAGCCAGACTCTGTGAGGCCTCTACCTGGGGCAGAGGACACAAGCCACTGAAGCATTCTACCCCTCTGTGGATCACCTCCCGTTTGCTTAACAAGGGACTTAATCACTCATGTCACGAGAAGGGGCTGTGTTTTTTTATAGAGCACGGTCTCCCCACTCTGACCCATGTGGTGTCAATAGAAATACATGGATCCTTTAAGTGGGAAGAGGGAGGAGGAACCCACGGGTCCCGGGGTGCTGTCCCTAACTGAGTCTTCTCACTGGCAGGTATATACAGGGGGCCTCGTCACCCAAGGACATGGTCATCATTGTGGATGTGTGAGTGAGCACTGTAGGCTGGCAGGACTGGGATGGGTGGGGCCAGGGCTGGATTCCCCTGCCTGGGAACATTCTGAGGGAAGGGCCGGAGAAACCGAGAGCCCACACATACGTAGCTCCTGCCTGGTTTCCAGGAGTGGCAGTGTGAGCGGCCTGACCCTGAAGCTAATGAAGACATCCGTCTGTGAGATGCTGGACACACTCTCTGATGATGACTATGTGAATGTGGCCTCAGTGAGTGCCCAGGTGGCAGGCAGGATGGGAACTAATCACCCCCCTCCAACTTGTTCCCATGACAACCATCAGCCTTGTGCAACAGCTGTCCACTGTGGCCAGCCTGAAGCCACTCACCACCCCACTGTCCCCCACAGTTCAACGAGAAGGCGCAGCCTGTGTCTTGCTTCACACACCTGGTGCAGGCCAATGTGCGTAACAAGAAGGTTTTCAAGGAAGCTGTGCAGGGCATGGTGGCCAAGGGCACCACAGGCTACAAGGCCGGCTTTGAGTACGCCTTTGACCAGCTACAGAATGTGAGCCCCATGGGTGGGCAGATGGGTGGCCAGGGGTGGGCAAGGGATAGGCTTAGTGACAGGAAGATAAAGGTGGATGGCCTTGTAAACACTAAACATACAGCTGAGACAGATAGCCTGCCTGCTGTGAGGGAGGAGGGCCGGAGGGCCAGAGGGCCAGAGGGCCAGAGGGCCAGGCTTGCCTACCAGAGGAGGGAGCCCTACCCTGGGCCTGTGAGAGACAAGGTCTGCCTGACTCTGTGTTCACCCTTGACTAGTCCAACATCACACGGGCTAACTGCAACAAGATGATCATGATGTTCACGGACGGGGGCGAAGATCGCGTGCAGGATGTTTTTGAGAAGTATAATTGGCCCAACCGGACGGTGAGGCTCAACCCTGATGGGTGGCTGCCCTGAACTGAGCTCGGGACAGGAGAGGGCTGTCCTCAGTGGCCGCGGCGATAACCTCATTGCTCCGACAGGTGCGCGTGTTCACGTTCTCTGTAGGGCAGCATAACTATGATGTCACACCCCTGCAGTGGATGGCCTGCACTAACAAAGGTACCTCGTTGCATTTCACTGCCAGGGCTTCTGCCTGCTATGATCTGCTGTCGGCTGTCCATCCGTATGTCCAGCTGTTTGTCACTCACGGTCTGTCTGTCCTTCCATACAGATGGCCATCCATTGCTTTGTCTGTTTGGTGGGCTGTCTTGCTTGTCCATCTGACAGAGCATGTTTCTGCCCATCTGGCTGTATGTCCACTGTCCATCTGTCCAGCTTTTCTGCTCCTACATCTGTTTGCTGATCACTCCATCTCCCTGTGCATGTGGGTAAACTCTGAATGTTACTGATGTCCTAGAACAAGGCTCCTTCTCCACCCCATCTCTGTTAACCGTCCCGACCTCTGCTGCTTAGACCCCTACAATCGCTCCTCTTCTGTAGCCTTTGTCACCGTGCCCGGGGAATGGCAAAGAACACAAAGGAGTTTGGGGGGAGCGATCATACACAGAGGGCTGAGGATATACCCTAGGGGGCAGTACCCCCTTGCTGTGGCCAGTCAAGCCCACCTCTCCTCCCTTTGCAGGTTACTATTTTGAGATCCCTTCCATCGGAGCCATCCGCATCAACACACAGGTGAGGCTGTGGGGGAGGCTTCTCTCTGGTTGCTGCTGAGTACCTTCCACTGCCATAGACCGAAAGCGACCCCTGGTGGCTGCTGAGGCACATGGCAGTAGATGAGAAAGTGAGTTGGGAAGGACATTGAGTACCTTCCTCTCCACACCCAGGAATACCTAGATGTGTTGGGCAGGCCCATGGTACTGGCAGGCAAGGAAGCCAAGCAGGTTCAATGGACGAACGTGTATGAAGATGCACTGGTAAGGCCTTTGGGCAAAGGAAGGGGACTGGAGGCCCTCCCTCAGGGAGATACACACCCTCAGGGTCAAGATCCTTCAGGGCCCCTTATTGGTGTTGAACAAGTAAAGGAAAATGACAGGTTGGCCTATGCCTGAGCCCCTTCTCTGAACACTCAGAGTGGGGACAGAACTGGCCTCAGGAAACCCCCATCTTCCTCCTCTCCCTTCAGGGGCTGGGGTTGGTGGTAACAGGGACTCTCCCTGTTTTCAACCTGACACAGGATGGCCCTGGGGAAAAGAAGGTGAGGTGCCCAGTGGGCTCTCTGGGGGAGGTATTGGCATGCCTTCAGCAGGTCTGGGGATGGATGTGGGAAAGGACATCCTACAAACTTGGCAGAGCAACTGTCTGTGTCAGCAGCAGAGGCCTTTAGAATGAGGCCTGGGCCAGGGGCTTCCACCGAGGACGTAACTCATTATAGTGTACTCATTCCTTTGTACCCAGAACCAGCTAATCCTAGGTGTAATGGGCATTGACGTGGCCCTGAATGACATCAAAAGGCTGACTCCCAACTACACTGTAAGTGTCCACCTGCCCCACGACTCTGCTCCTCTTCCCATGGTGATACAAAGCCAGAATGGGCAGAGGAGATCCAGGGATTGAAGGACCTTCACAGGGGCCTCTGAATTCAGAGAATCAAGAAAGACTTGGGGGTGGGCGGGGATGGTCCAAAGCTGGCGCCAGCAAGCTTCATGTGAAGGACTAGGCTGTGACTGTTTCAGACAGGTCTTGCTTGACCTGAACATCCATTTCCCACGCTAATATTGAATTGTGAAAGCAGCTGCAGACAAATCATAAACACATGAGCATAGCTATGGCCCATACCGTTTCATTTTTGTTTGGTTAGCTTTTTGAGACGGGTTCTCTCTCTGTGGTCCTGACTATCCTGGAGCTCACTATGTAGACCAGACTGACCTTGATCTCACAGAGCTCGGTCTATCTCTGCCTTCCAAGTGCTAGGATTAAAGGCATGCACCACCATGTCTGGTGGCCCATTAAGTTTTATTTGTTGACACTGATATTTGAATTGTATATTATTGTCACATCATAATTATTTTGATTTTTTTTAAAACTCAACATGTATGGATATTTTGCCTGTGTGTATGTCTGTGCACCATGTGTGTGCCTGTGTCATCCAGGAGAGGACACTGGATCTCCTGGAACTAGAGTTACAGATATTTGTGAGCTGTCATATGGGTGCTGGGAATCAAAACCAGGTCTTAAGAAGAGCAATCAATGGTCTTAACTGCTGAGCCATCTCTCCAGTTCCTTCTTTTGATTTTTTTTAAATTTAAAAACATAATACCTGGTTGGGTGGTGGTAGTGATGGCAGCAGTGACAGCGATGGTGCACACCTTTAATCCCAGCACTCAGGAGGCAGAGGCTGGAGGATCTCTGTGAGTTCGAGACCAGCCTGGTCTACAAGAGTGAGTTCCAGGATGGCCAGGACTGTTACGGAGAGAAACTGTGTCTCAGAAAAACAAAAACAAAAATAAATCTGAGGCTCACATCCAAATTATTGCAACAGGTGATGAGCCAGATTCAGCCTTTCCCAGAGTATGCTGGGTGAAGAACTGGGGACTGGGAGCAGAGGGAACTCTTCCAGACAAAAGCCTGAAAGCAAAAGGCAGAAACTGGAACCAGGGAAGGGATGTGATGGCAGTTTGGCTAGAGAACTTAAGTCTCAGCTAGGAAGCAAGGAGAAGAGGGAAATGTGTGGCTACTTTTAAGCCCAAACTATGTGAAGCCCTTGTTTGGCCTGAGAAATCCCACAGATAGTAAGGAAATGATGAGAGGCAAAGGCTGGTCCCTGGGTCTCACTCCCTCCTGTGTGCCTTGCACCAGGCCTGCAGGGTTCCCAGGAGCCTCTCCCTCCTGTATGGCCACACTGAAATGGGGATAGAAAAGCAGTAGGCACGATAGGGCCACAGTGGTGCAAAAGCAGCCGCCTTGTGGGCCTCACGCAGGGGCAGAGGTAGGCCTGGCTGGTACCTCCATGGGAAATGGAGAATGCCTGTCTACAGAGTTAGTCAATCATGGTGGGGGCTGCTGTGTGAGGGGCACCCAGCCTGGCTTCAGAGGCAGAGGCAGACTTAGGGCCATATGGCCTTTGGCCAAAGGAAAGCAACGTAGGAAACGGAATCGAGAACAGCTCATAGTGTAAGAAATCCCCATGCCGCCCTCTGAGCCCCCAATCTGTGTCTCACAGCTTGGCGCTAACGGCTATGTGTTTGCTATTGACCTGAACGGCTATGTGTTGCTACATCCCAACCTCAAGCCCCAGGTGAGCCAGGTGGGTGGCCTTGGAGGGCAGGTAAACCCTCCGAGATGAGGACTCCTGATTTCCTACCTGGCTTCCTGCAGACTACCAACTTCCGAGAGCCTGTGACCCTGGACTTCCTGGATGCAGAGCTGGAAGATGAGAACAAGGAGGAGGTGAGGAGAAGGCAGGGAGGAGGGAGGAGGGAGGAGGTGGCGGCACAGGAGCAGGGGGTTCACACCTTTGGCCCTTGCAGATCCGTCGCAGCATGATTGATGGCAACAAGGGCCACAAGCAGATCAGAACATTGGTCAAGTCCCTGGATGAGGTATGAGGGTACAGGACGGGGAACAAGGGCAGCAGGATGGGCACCCACCCCCACCCACCCACCCTAGCCTGCTCACCCAGAGACCTCACACAGCCTCCTCTCCCAGAGGTACATAGATGAGGTGATTCGGAACTACACCTGGGTGCCTATAAGGAGCACCAATTACAGGTAAGTGAGCCAGAGCTGGGCAGACGGAGAAGGGCGAGAGTGACCCCAAAGTCTGAACCCAGCTGCGTCTCTCTCTTGCACCCTGTCCTTGCTATTTATTTACCCTGAGATGCAAGCAGCAGGTCCTGGAAGAACAGGACTGGGGACAGGACAATGCCCCTGACATCCCCCAACCTGGAGGGGCTCCTGGGTACCACACCCCAGGGATTATCTTCTCGCTCTCGCTGACTGCTCACAATCAGCATTGCAGCCTCAGAGCTAGTCTTGACCCTGTGGGCCAAGTTCTATAGGCACAAGCTGTCTTTGCATGCCCCTCCCAGCTGCTCCACGCCAGGGGCATTGTCACACGCCAGGACCAGCCCATACTGCCTCCAGGCTCTGTCCCTCAAAAGTTCCCTGTTGGTCAGGAGACTGGGGGGGCAGGCGGGTGCTGTGGTGGGGAGCAGGGTGGGAATGACTTTGGGGCTCGTAGTTTCAAGGCTTCCAGGGTGGTTTGAGGAGGAGAAGGCTCACGCCTCCAAGGTGCTGACTCTAAGAGACGCAGTTGTGCAGGGAAGTTGTGGCTGCCACTGCTTGGGCCTGTCTGGCTCCAAGGCCCTAGGAAGGAAGTGTCAGTGTGGCCCACCTCTCCTCATCAGTGACCTGTGCTCTCCTTCCCCTCCTCCCCAGCCTGGGGCTGGTGCTCCCACCCTACAGCACCTTCTACCTCCAAGCCAACCTCAGCGACCAGATCCTGCAGGTCAAGTGTAAGTGGCCTGGCCCCTGCCTGCGCCCTGCACCTCTGCCTCTGCCCCTGCACCCTTGGCCGGCCCCAGGCAGCATAGCCAGCCGCACTTGCCGGCAAGGCAGCCCCTCCTGCCAAGTCTGCCCAGCCTCAGGCGTGCCCATAGGCTGGGGAACCAGCCTTCAAAAGTCTGTGGAAATTTGCATGCTTGCCTTTTCTCAGATTTGGTTCTAGACCATTCTCTCATGGTTTCCGTTGAGGATTGTTTTTGGTTTTTCCTATCCCGTGTCCTCCCTTCTTAGCCTGCCTGCCCTGAACACTCCTGGGGGCTACACTCCTGGAAGGCACCCCCGCCCACCCCTCCCTTTTCTTCTGCTCTCCTCCCCCTGTTCCTCCTGTGGTGCCACCTCTGTCCCAAGGTCTCTTGTCCTCTGTTCCTCCTCTGCCCACTCCTCCCCTCCTCCTTCAGGTCACGTTTTCCCGCCATCTCTTTTTCCTAACCCTCTCTTCCCTCTTCTCTCACTCCTTCCATTCCCCTCTCGCTTCCCCCACCCCTTCCTCTCCCCAACCCAGAACACCTGCCCTCCCTCTCTCCCTTCGCCTGTCTTGTTCCCTGTCTCTCTCTTTCCTTCCTCTTTCCTCCCTCACTCCTGGTTAACACCCTTCACCCCCCCCTCACCCCTATGCCCCCATCTCTCTCTTCCTTTCTCTCTCCTTCCCTCTCCCCCTCGGCTCTCCCACTCCTCTGCCTGTGGCTCCCCATGCATGCCTGCTCACCATGGGCCTCTCTGGAAAGGCCTGGATCTCAGGCCTGGCCCTGCCTGCCCAATGCCAGAGGTCACTGGGAGGGAGGCTGGGGCTCCGGCCCCACCGGGCGCCCCCCACCTGCCTGGCCGACTGGGGCTCATCTCCTTTGAGTTTCTCGCTCTCTCTTTCTCTCTCATGTCGTTTTTTGCAAGAAGTTTCCTTTCGGTATGATGATGAGACACAATATTTTCATTCAAACAGCCATTGAATAAAATATTGTTTGTGCCCTTCCCCTTCCCCTCCCCCTTTTCGTTTGTTTTTGTGTTTGTGTTTTTGTTTTCCTCGCTTTCTCTCTTGGTGGACTGTCCCAGTGCCAATCAGCAAACTGAAGGGCAAGTATACTCAGAACCAGTGCACCCTCCTCTCCCCACCCCACCTGCCCTCACACCCCTGCTTGCCCCCCTTCCTGCCCAGGACCAGCCAAACCCCTGCCCTCTGGGGCTCCCTCCCAGCATCCCTTGGCTCCTCAGTTCTTGCCTTTCCTCCGATCCCTCTTAGAGCCAGTAGCCCACTTCCAGGGCTGTCTGCAGAGCTCTCCAGCGTGTCCTGTGGGCCCAGACCCCTTTCTCCTATTCCCCAGTCCTTGTGGGACCCCATGGGAAGCCCTCAGCCTCCCCATTTCTCTGCCCCTCCAAGACAACTCAACAGTGGGGACAGAGCTGGGTGCTCCACCACCACCCACCCAGCAGGACAGGATGCTTGAGATGCGTTCATAGGTCAGCCTTAGCGGGGTTCACACAAGGCTGGGGGAGAAGGAAGTCCCTGCAGGCACCCGCCAGTGGCATTTAGGCCTCTGGGTTGTGCTGTGGCCCCAGAGCTCACAGGCCTCCTAGAAGAGAGGTGGCAAGGCTCAGAAGCCTGAGATGGGGGGGGGGGGGGTCACACAGGCAACCAGGCCATAAGAGGACAAGACTAATCAACCACCCTGGGTAATGGCTGTGTCCTGCTGCTCCCACTGCCTTGCTGTGAACCCTTGGGCTGTCCCTGCTCTTGGGTGCTTGCTATTCCCGGGAAGGGTCTGTTGGTGTGGGAAAGCTATTCTCCCAGGGAAATAAATGCAGACTCAGGAACTGTAGGCTTGGCCAGGCATGGGGTGGATCTTGTGGATCCCAAGAGCCAACCAAACAGTCCAGAGGAAACCAGGCTAGTGACAAAGAGGAATAGACGGTGAGCCACCAGGCCTTGTCAGGGAACTGTGGGAGTTCCAGGGGTGTCCCAGGAAGATGTCTGCCATTAGTACACAGAGAGCTGCCTTCCCAGGGACCACTTGACCCTGTGAGGCATGGAGAACCACATGGGGATGTCCCCCAACCTGGAAGCAGAGGACTCCCAAGAAACCTAGAGGCCTTGTCCAGCCTAGGCCAACAAACGAAATAAGCTGTCCTTGCTGGCTGGGTCAGGGTGGGTTGTATACCCAGTCCCACTAGCGTGAGTTGTCTTTTTCCCATCTCTCACACCCCATATACTGACCCTAGAACTTCAAGGCCCGAGTAACATGACAAACTTAGTATAGTCTCCCTCCTCGTCCCTCCTCCCTCCTTTTTCTTTCTCCTCCTCCTCCTCTCCCCACCCCTACTCCCTCCCCTTCGGCTTGTGTCCAAACCCTGCCTCACAGTCCTATCAGAAAGGAACAGTCCAACCAGTGACTGCCCAGCCCCCCAAAGCACCCCAAGTTTCCTATGTCCAGAACTTTGCAGTGCATCGTGGGAGGATTTGGGAACAGTAGAAATCCCTCTTCTGGGATAACAAAAGCCCTGGGGTAAGAGAGAGTTTGGGAGTGGGTGAGATAGCATAGGGAAAGCCAAGTGTGATTGGCACAGGCCAACAATCCCTGCATTCAAGAGGCTCAGGCAGGAGGATGCCCATGAATTAGAAGCTAATCCAGACAACAGAGACCATAAAAAAAAAAAGAAAACCCATAGGGAGGTGGACTGCCAGAATTACACTAGCCAAGGGCCCTCACAGATGCACATAACAGCCCTGGGGGAATATAGTTCAGTTGCAACAGTGCTTGCCATTGCCTGGCATTTACCAAGTCCTGGGTTCAGTCCCCACCATCACATACTCCAGATGTATGCCCATATCACAGCACTCTGAGGGTGTATGCATGAGAATCAGAAGTTCAAAGTCATCCTCAACTATATAAGGGGGTTCTAGGCCAACTGGACTGCACAAGACAAAAAAATAAAATAAAATAAGCACACAGCGGAGTAACTCAGTCCAGCTGGGCAGAAAGAAAGGCCATGGTGGAGCCCTACAGGCATATTCTCAGGCCTGTGAGTACACGCCCACATAAAGACAAGCATGTGCTCACACTCGAGCATCCATGCCACACCCGTGCACAGCTCACAAGCCTGAGGCACAGGCACAGCTGTTAGACCACCCTCCCAGGCGCTCCCAGCATTTTCCCCAGGCTGCTCCTAGGAAGAGAGGAGACCAGACCTTCCCCACGTGCCCTGCACCCCCAGCCGGGAAAGCAGGTGCGCAGGGTCCAGCAGCATCCCTGCCTCAGCACACAATATGGAACAGTCCCTGCCCCATGGGTTTCCCTTCACCCAGCACCCTGTTCCAGGAAGGACACCCACTCTCAGACTCCACGATGCACCGCATGCCGCCACCACCGGCTGTTCTCACCTGTCTCTGGTTGGACTGTCTGTGCCCGTGAGAAACCCTTTCGGTTTGGCCATGTTGATGCCTGACACAGAATAAAAGCAAGACCTACCAAAATGCAAACAGCTGCGGCAGAGAGAGATAAAACTCCGCAGCCAAAAGCCAATTCCCTTCCTCAAAGTCTCTTTGGAGGCAAAGGAAGCTCAGCATGCGGTTTTTCCATTATGGATGTGATAAGAACAGGACTGGCGCCTCCCCCAGACCATGCATATATATAGCAGTGTGTGTATATATATATGTGTGTGTGTGTGTCCGTGTATATGTGCTATACAGCAGTATGGAAGCATATACAGCCACGCCAAGGGACTCACTGCCGACAGAGGACCAGGCCCGGGCAACATATTGGCTATAACTGCCCTTCTCCTGCGATGCTGTAGTCTCCACAGGCCCTAATGCCCTCCTCGCCCTCCCTTCTCTCTGGCTCAAACCTGAACGTGGAAGTGGCGGGTTTCCTCTTTGCTGGTGTCTTCCCCCTCCCTCAAGCCGCCTCGTCCCTACCTGTCCCTCCAGCCCCATCAGCTCTGAGCCCTCTGGCCTCCTGCCTCCCCAACCCCCGCCGGATAACCCCCCCGTTTCTGTTGCAGATTTTGAGTTCCTGCTCCCAAGCAGCTTTGAGTCTGAAGGACATGTTTTCATTGCTCCCAGGTAGCTTGCGTGTGGCCTTGCTAAGGCGTCCTCCCCTACCCTGACCGCCCTGGCCCTACCTCCTGCACTGCTGCCTGGAGCTCTGTGTGTCTATGTTCTGTGCAGTGTTGCTCCTAACCCTATACATAGCCCGGTATGTGCGGCTGTGTGCATACCCAGGCCATGTAGCCGCACCAGACAGCAGTAGCCAGCAGCTCACAGCCTATCTCCCACCAGGCCTGGGGCAGGCGGGCTTTGGATTCTCTGCTACCTTCTGTGCCCTCCCAGGCAACCAGGAAGGATCCCTTTCCACCTTGGGCTGGCCCATCCCCAGCACATCCTCGCTGGGCAGCTGCTGCTCTGGTTTGTGGTGCTCTGCCCATACCTCCACCTGACCCCCCACCCCCACCCCCATTGTCGTCCTGTGTCAGTGTTTGTGTGGGTCTGAGGGCTGAGCCAGCCAGAGCCCCTGTGGGTATTGCCAGGGGTGCTGATCCTAGCTTGCTGACTCACTGAAGAGTGGGAAGGAGGGAAAAGGCTTTGAGGAACTTCTTTGGCAAGTGAGGGATCAGGGCCCCAGAGCCAACCCTGGAGTTCACACTCGGTGTGAACACGTGCATCCTAGTGTGTACACAATCTGCCTTGGACTACATCTGAAGAGGCCATGGCCCCTGGTACTAAAGCCCTCTCTTGTGACCTGGGTCTTGAATGAGGACACTCCCCGGCACCACATGGGGCTCTGGACACTCCTAACCCTGTGTGTATGCACCCCCCAGTTTCAGACTCGGCAGATGTCTGTACTTGTGAGTCATTGTGTACATGTGAGGTGGGCTGGATGCATTAGTGGTTGGGAATGGGCTGTGAGACATACATGCAGAAGCTGAGGGAAGAGATTTGTCATTTTTATACCTGGCTCAGGAGCGCTGAATAAGTGTATGTGAGTGAGTGAATGAAGAACATACATGCCAGCTGTGTGGTATATCTTATGCATAGCTGTGTGGGTGTCACTAGGCATGTCCATAGAGAGGGTGTTCTTCACAAAGGCACTGAGGACCAGTGAATCAGTGGTGGCTGAGGCTGAGACTCTAGTCCCAAGTGCCTACACTAAACTATCAGTCCTGGCACAGCCAAGGGACAAAGCACTTTTTTGTTTGTTTGTTTGTTTGTTTGTTTTTATTTTTGTTTTTTGAGACAGGGTTTCTCTGCATTGCTTTGGAGCTTGTTCTGGAACTTGCTCTGTAGACCAGGCTGGCCTCAAACTCACAGAGATCCGCCTGCTTCTGGTTCCTAAATGCTGGGATCAAAGGCGTGCGACACCAACGCCCGGCAGCACATTTTATTAACTACCCAGAGTTGCTGTCATATAGGGCACTGGGAAGGACATATCAATCAGAAGGAACAGCCAGTCCAAAGACCCACACATTCCCACTGACTCCCCAGCTGTGGCATGATGAAAACAGCGAGCCCCAGGAAACCAGAATGCATTACTCAAAGGCACAAGGCCAGGAAGAGGCAGGATGAGGTCTTAGACTGACGACAGCAAGTGCTGGTACTCAGCCCCACCTCATGCCCATGCAAACGTTGTAAGGAGTGTGAGGCAGCCATTGCATTTCCTGAGGCCTCTTGGGTGCACCATCCGGGTCCAGCCACACAGGTGAGATGGCAGGTTCTGCAGGGCCAAGACCAGGAAAGAGAAAACCTGCCAGGGTGGAGGACACAGACCCTCACCTTCTGCCCACTCTGCTTACCCTAAATCCAAGCAGCCTACAGCCCCATGTTGACCACAGCCTGTGAGAACATTCACGCCCCTTCCCTCAATCTGGATTTCTCAGGCAATGTCCAGGCCAACCTGTCAGGAAGCCTGGAGACCTCTGCCCTGTGCAGCCCCCCAACCCTACTGTTCTTGTCCCTCCCCACCCCCAGAGAGTATTGCAAGGACCTGAATGCCTCAGACAACAACACTGAATTCCTAAAAAACTTCATTGAGCTCATGGAGAAAGTGACTCCAGACTCTAAGCAGTGTGAGTATATGGCGTCTGGATCTGGGCAGGGCCTGGGGTCAGGAGAGAAAGAAAGGAGGCAGGGGGGCATACCTAGAGGAGCCTGGAGACTGGGGGAAGCACACAGGGCCTGGGGAAGGCTTTCACCAGAGCCCTGGAGACTGAGGGAAGGAATGACTGAATTACAAAAAGACATTCGTCCAACTTATCCTTCTATTCCAGGCAATAACTTCCTTCTGCATAACTTGATTTTGGACACGGGCATTACACAGCAGTTAGTAGAACGTGTGTGGCGGGATCAAGATCTCAACACGTATGCACCACCACCCTGGCTGTGACTGTGTGTGGCAGGAGGCTGGGGTTGACCCACAGGCCCTGACCTTGCATAGTAGAAGGCAGGCCTGTGACCCCACCTCCCTGTTACCCCCAGGTACAGCCTGCTAGCTGTATTTGCTGCCACGGATGGTGGCATCACACGTGTCTTCCCCAACAAGTAAGTGACCGACCCCACTCACCAACATCTTCCCCTGTCTGGGACCTTGCCATTACTTTACTACCCAGAAGCCTCTGCACTGCTGAGGCGGTTGTACACCACAAGCTGCCTATGATATACAGTTGTGTACACGCTGAGCTCTGCCTGTCTTGGGTGCTGTAGGGCAGCCGAAGACTGGACAGAGAACCCCGAACCCTTCAATGCCAGCTTCTACCGCCGCAGCCTGGATAACCATGGTTATGTCTTCAAGCCCCCACACCAGGACTGTGAGTGTCTGTCCACGGTGCCCAGTAGCAGGTGGGAGGCCTCGGCTGAGACCAGGGACATTTGAAAGAAAGGCTATACCAAACTATATAGTATATAGTATATACTATATAGTGTATACCATACTATAAAGGTTATATAGTATGGGGTGCTATAGGCTTTGACTGGGTTGGGCCCTGGGTTGGTAGGGCCCAGTCTGGAGCAGCCAGTATGACCAGCCTTCACTCCTGACCTCTCCGTCCATCCATCCCAGCCCTGTTAAGACCACTGGAGCTGGAGAATGACACAGTGGGCGTCCTCGTCAGCACCGCTGTGGAGCTGAGTCTAGGTCGTCGCACACTGAGGCCAGCAGGTGAATGCTAAGTCTGAGGTGGGGCAGAGGCGGTAGTCAGGGAGCCAGCCAGGCAGGCAGTAGATCGTCCACTGCTCTCTCCCACAGTGGTGGGTGTCAAGCTGGACCTAGAGGCTTGGGCCGAAAAGTTCAAGGTGCTTGCCAGCAACCGCACCCATCAGGACCATCCTCAGAAGGTATTTGGGTAGGGGAAGGGGAGTAAGCCCAGTAGTGTCTTCTCTGGAGTCCCCCAGGACCCCTAACAAGCCTGCCACTCAGAGTGGCTCCCGC